GATAAGTGCACTGATGAGTTCATTGAGAAGCAAACAATGGTTGTCTTACTAAGAGAGGTGCTGGTACACCACTTCACGTGAAATAAAGTTCTTATCGATTATAACAGCATAATATAACAAGTATAGGAGAGAGACAGAGAAAGGAAGATAGAGGGAGCAGGGGGAGAGAATGAGAGAGAAGAGAGGGGAGAAAGAATAGAGAGAGAGGGGGAGAGATAGAATGAGAGAGAGAGGGGAGTGAGAGGATGAGAGAGAAAACGAGATTGAAAGAGAGTGAGAGAGAGGGAGAGAGAGAGAGAGAGAAAGAGCGAGGGGAGAGAGAATAAGAGAGAGATGGGGAGAGATAGGATAAAAGAGAGACGGGGGTGAGAGAAAGAGAGATTGAGAGAGGGGGAGAGAGAGAAAGAAAGAAATAGAAGGGAGAGGGATTCTAAGAGGAAAACAATCTCACATGTAATATTAGATGTAGACCGTCACGGTCAGCAAGTGTGAAAAGAGAGTTGAGATCGAAATGCAACCGATGCATCGTACTATCTTTTCACTTGCAGAAGAAGAGAAGAAGGAAGAGAAGGTGGAAGTAGAAGATTCATCTGACGAGGACATGGGCTTCGGCTTGTTCGATTAGTCACGAATTCGACAGCACGAGGGCGCCACGAGCAGCGACATTGATCCTAGCACTGGTGTCCACTGCCCGACCACAGCACAGGCACTTGGAGTGTTTCTATAAACTATAATGCTAAATAAATACGAAATCTATTTACTACCAAAGTCGTAGATTTCGTATTTATTTAGCATTATATTTTATTGAAACGCTCCAAGTGCCTGTGTGCACGGCAGGGAATTCTAGTCTACGTGTAAATAACGTCTTTACTGGCGAGGAAGGGTGGAGGCAGCGAACTGGTTGGGCGTACTCTGCATCACTTCTACTGTTATTTGTTACGATTCTCTTTTATAAAGCTGACCCAAGGACTCTGAAAGTGAAAGGATTTACCACATCCCGTAATCTGATAATCTGATGAGATAATTAAAGCCATTACAAAGGCAAAAGGGTTATTTCCTAGCCACAGCATGTGTTGTATTGTATTGTATACTGTACAGTATTACACTATACAATACATATACTGTACACTATACAATACATCAGTATATGTATTGTATAGTGTACAGTATGTATTGTCCATGATGGATAATTGCCTAAATAAAAAAATAAAAAGCAACAGCGACAAACCTCGTCCAAGAATAGTTATCGCTATTGATACCTAGCTGTTATGGTTGCATCTGATGTAGAGGAGCTCAATCTGTATGATGGAAAAGAAATGTGTGCTCAGTACAGCATTTAACAACCTTATTTTGTAGTTAACAATTCTTATATACCTCAGTTCAAGTAAGTTAAAAAAAATGATAGTTTTTTACGTAATGCTCATGAGCATGTGACAGTTTTATTGGTAATTAATAAAAAAAATCATTGCAATAATTACAATTTACTGTTTGTAGTGTAAATAAATACACAATTATTCTGCATGTACATTATAATCTTATGTGAGTATTATAATCTGCATGTCCAGAACATATTTCCTAAGGAATCGCTAACCTGGGATACTTCTCGCGAATGGTTCACATAAGTAACGTAACATTACGACAGGTTCTGGCACCTTCACTGATAGCATTCCGAGCACATGCACATGCACCGGCCAAAATACAGGAAAAGAAATGCCACATATTTCCCAGGGCATTCCGAGCACATGCACATGCACCGGCCAAAATACAGGAAAACAAATGCCACATATTTCCCAGGGGAATAGCTCACCTATACACTAAGCATTTAAAATAATAAGACAGGAACAGACTAGATATCATCGGCGTATCACGGACGCTGGGTGTGAGACGAGACGGGGCAGCGGCCAGACACCACGAGAAAACAGCCACACAGACAACAGCTGCTGTCGCTGTTCATGTTGACGGAACACAGATGTCGTGCGCCAGACGAGACAATATTATATACGTTGCTACAATCAAACGACGCGAGAGAACTGCCACACAGCGCCCGTCGTGAAACCGCTGTTCTCCTCGCGGCACCGCCGCGGAAGGTCGTACTCCGCGACCTTGAGCAGCCGCCGCCGCAGCGTCGTCGTCGCCGTCCGCTCCCGGAAGGTCGCGCGACCGGGGTCACCGACGAGCACTGCCGTTCCTCGCGTCGTCAGATCGTCCGCCCAGTCGAGGATCGCACGGCCGAAGTCTCCGTCGTCGTAGAACATGTCCCCGAGCAACACGACGTCCCAGCGCGCGTCCAGCCGGCCGACGAGCGACGCCGTGCAGATCTCGCAGCTGCCAGGGGGCGCCGGTGAGGGCGGCGTCGCCGCGCAGACGCCGTTCAGGCGAGCGTTCAGCGCGACGGCCGTCGCTGCAACTGAGGATGGAGGAGATCGATGAGCGGGGAAAAATCCAGAGCCACATACGTGCGAGGAGGGTCTGGAAATGTTTCCATCGAACGCATGCACACGTCCACGGATACATCTATGCTCTACTGCTATATACACTATGTACTCACTGGTAATCTACTCCTACGTACTGGGCACTGCATCCTTATCCTACGTTCCACTACAACTCTTACGCGATCTCTTTCCTCGTACCCCGTGGTTCGTACGCGTGAGTTACGTCAGCCCCGTACCGTGTGGGTCTGGCAGCGTCCACCGAACGCGTGCACACGTGTGTTGATACACCTATACTCTACGGGACAATACATGCTAACCCTACGTTCCACTACTACTGTGCACAGTCTCTGTCCTCATACCCCGTGGTTCATCCTCGCGAGCTATGTCCGCCCTGTACATGGATGTCGCCGTCGACTTACTTGGATCGGTGTCGTTGGCGATCGCGTAGGTGGCGCCACTCATGCTCGCCGCGATGGCGCTGGCGCCGCACCCGCTACCGACATCCAGTACTGTCTTCCCGCGTGAGACGTCAGGGTTGTCCAAAAGGAAACTACAGAGAGAGAGAGAGAGAGAGAGAGATATCATGATCGACACTCAGCTGGTGAAGAAATAATCAAAGAATTTATACAGACTGTTTTACTCGACATATGATGCAGGCAGATCTAGGTGGGTTTACACAGTGATAAGGTTTGCTACGTCTACTGTTTAATATTAGTTTCAAATAAGAATTTATACAGACTATTTTACTCGACATGTGACGCAGGCAGCAATGTGGTTTTATAATTATACAGTGATAAGGTATGTATACACCAAGACATGGCCAGTGCACATCTCCTACTGTCTGATATTAGTCTCGAATAAATCCTACACACATTATAAAAGTAAACGGTGTATGATTGCTCGATCGTTTGCGAGATGCACGATACATAGACACGCTGTTTCCGTACCGTGTCAGGACCTGCCCACCCGGCCAGTAGAATGCCCAGAACGGGTCCGGATAGGGACAATCTTCCGCTCTGGCTCGCCACAGCCAACAGTTTTGCGTGACGAGTCGCAAGCGCAGCTCTGGTGTCAGATGGTCTCGGCTGACCTCCGTGTTTTCCTCGATCCACTTGGCGACGTTCTCCGCGGTGGTACGCGCCGCTGACGTCAGCGGTGAAACAGGATGGCTAGCGAGCGAGTGGAGACGCCGTAGCAACCGCGCGCTGCGGATCAGGGAAGCCATTCTTCCGTGGTCTGGCGTCGCATCGCCACCGGCGTATTTCGAAGGAGAAACATCTGCAATGCTAAGATCGAGTAACTCAGTGCATGACAGCAACATTACATGATAGCAGCATTGTAGGTATATTGTATATATATAGTAGTAGCATGTAGCAGTAGTAGTAGTACTAATACTTACTTATTACGAGTGAGTACTAGTTTGTAAATAGTGATTTGTAAATAGTGATTAGTGTAACAACATGAATTGAATCAATGCATGAAGGAATCATTGCCATTGCATTGGCATTGTGTATACGAATTGAGCGTTGTTTCTTGTACGAATAACGTATCACGAGATTCACTTCACATGTTCGGCAACGTGCAATAGAAATAAGTGGGGTTTAACTACAAGTGACTTACTGAGAGCTGTATGTATTAAACTTTGAAACTTCCAAACCTGAAAAACTCTAAAATCAACAGAGAGCGCCACCTCTCGGTATATATTAGCTCCCCAAGAACTTGCTTATATGGTCCGATAGAGGGCGATTGCATCTAGTGCAGAAATTTGTTTACGATCAGCTATGGAGCTTCATTCGGAAAGACGTTGATTCCAGGTGTTGTGTTTCGCAGATTGTCCTCGTTAGCCTGGTAACCTGCAGAGCTACTCAGCTAGTGCAGGTGTGTACCAGATGTGTTTGTCATCCGTCGGATGTGAAACAGTAAGTAATTAGATGTCTAACGTCAACGTGTGAGTCGGTTTGCTGCAATACTGTTTTGCTGATTCGCGTTCTCTGAGTCCTTCCTCAGCATGATCTAGTTCCAGTGCGAGCTCATGAGGCAGTCTTGCTGGTTATTGTATTTTAGTGGCCATGGTGTTAGTAATACTCATTGTACACATATTGCTGTATATTAGGAAAGACATACTCACCGCCGCTTATCTGAAGCTTTTATCTACCAGTCGTGCAGGTGGTTGGTAATTTACATATGGAAATATGCTTGTAATAATACAGTATGGAATGTAGGTATACTGATTACTGCCATATACTGGAATGGTATATGTACTACATGTGATAATGTAGTAAATATCCTAATTTCAAATATGAAATGGGCTGTATATTTAGATGGTGGTTACGGATTGATGATAACGATTTATGTGGCTAGCTATATGCTGCTGTATCTTACCTGTACTGTTGGCAGGATTAAAAATGAAATGGGACTCGATCGATCATCTCTTTGAAATGTGATAAACAAACATTCAGTACATGGAAAATATTCTACAGTAGTTGCATGTAAAATTACAGTTGAGTAGGCCTATATGAGCTTTCAGTACATTGCAGTAGCATGTATAACTGTATTGGATCTCTGGCAGTGTGCCAGAATTTCAACATCCAGTGCCCTAGCTTATATTGACCCACTTCAATTTATTTAATTCTTTAATCTGGTAGACCACACTTCTGGTCTGGTATGTATATATGCTGCATCATTGCTTTCCTCGGCTTTTAAAAGCCATTTTAATTTGTGGCTGTAGCATGCATATATATGCATTATGCTTTAATTATGACTATGAGTTTTGAGCAAGAGTAGATAATAACACAAGAGTGAGACAACCGATTCCCGCATTTTTAACCGATTTTTCTCATCAAAATTTGCCACCAATAAAGAAGCAAGTGTATACGTTCCTCAGCTTATTATGACCACTAATCACTCACCTTCATGGTACTGATATTCGTTTACATATATTTGCTAGCGTATTGCTGTAAATCGTAATCTTGCACGAGCTGAATTCGCACGATTTACCGCTGTTGTTGTGACCTGTTTAGCCATTATTTAGAAGCTATCGCTGCGCCAATATTTAGCAACGGACGGTTTCCAAATCATTCGTGCCCCGATAGGGTTGAGAGACAATCTAAATTTCGAATTTTGATCTCGTGAAGAACCTGCGAGACGCGCTCAGTTATTGTGATCGCAACACAAGAAATTGACATACTATCTTACATAAGTAATAATACAATAATAACAATATTCTCTGTAGTAGTTTGCAGTAAGTATCGCATTACGCACGCGCAGGTAATCAAGTACATTAAACCCCTATCGGGGCACGCATGATTTGGAAACCGTCCGTTGCTAAATATTGTCGCACCGATAGCTTCTAATAATGTCTAAACAGCTCGCAACAAGTCGCCATTTTAGCGGTAAATTTATCGAATTCAGCTCGTGCAAGATTACGATTTACAGCAATACGCTAGCAAATATATGTAAACGAATATCAGTACCATGAAGGTGAGTGATTAGTGGTCATAATAAGCTGAGGAACGTATACACTTGCTTCTTTATTGGTGGCAAATTTTGATGAGAAAAATCGGTTAAAAATGCGGGAATCGGTTGTCTCACTTGTGTTATTATCTACTCTTGGTTTTGAGGTATTTTACTCTCGATAAGTATATGTACAGTCGATATCTAGAAACAGTTGGACATTCACTGGTTCCCAGAGTCACAAGTTCATTAACTGACTGTCAACACCATGTCAGCTGTCATATGTTAAAAGTTAATTTGACACATGCATTTTGATGTAATACGTGTGATTATTTTCCACGGAACAATTGTACGTGTAACGTACATGTCTTATAACCTGTAGAGACTGCAAAATTTGTTCATTAATCAAATTAATTTAGGCCAGGCTGGGATCAGGTGTGTGCAAAATTTTAGCCTTAAAAATATAAAATTTTGTCGGGCTAGAACCGGGCAATATTGGCCCTGTTGGGCTGCATGCAGGCTGAGCTTTTGATGCCAAGCATATATATGTGACCCGCTCCAGCAAAACCAGGATTAAGTAGGAAATTCTACAAATTGAGTTATGTGCATATCTGAATAGATCATTTAATTACCTTTAAAATGATATATAATATTTGGCTATATCTAAAGAATTGACCGATCTACAGCAATTTGAAGATCGGAAACCGACTTATTTCGGAATATGCAGCGTTTGAGATAAAGCGTTCCGGGTAAGGGGCCCAGTCAGTTTTTTTTTTAAATTAAAAATGACCATCATAATCTAGAGATATCTGAACCTATATATCTGGATTAAATATGCACTTAGGAACTTATTTTTGTAAAAATCTCATTTTTGTTCAGGTAGGCCATTTTCAGCATTGACATGTGTGCGTGCTCATTACTCAAAACAATGACTTGCGACTTAGTCCGTATTATGCTGGAGCGGGTCACATATGATAATAAATGTTTTAGTATTTCCCCCCACATGCTTTTAAATTATATGCTTTTATATGCCTTTGAATTCCCGACCGTAATGCAACTCGGCCATTTACTTTTCAATGCAGCTTCGAACATCTTCTAATTCGATTCTTCTGATCAAATCATAACTAAACTCGTCACCTAATCATCCCATGCAGTTACTTCTTCTATTTGCCATTACATGTAATTGGTGGGCTATATTTGAGTACACTACTGAGTTTGAAGAACAAAAAAAACGCACACAACTGCAGATGCGTTTCCCTCTTGTGAATGGCACTCTGAGTCTAACAATCCGATTCCCATTCTGTTATAATAGGCGCATTCACACGGACGTTTTTAGCCTGAGCGTAATTAGGCCCGCGGCAAATTTGGCTCGAGCCGAGCGTTCACACAGATGGTTTTTCGGGGCCGTGCCGAGTTAGCACGGGCCAATTTGGTCCCATCGAAAACGTCTGACCAGGCCCGAGCCAAATTTTAGCACCAGCTAAATCGGTAGCGCGGTAGATGCCGCGAGTGTCGAACGTGTACTTCGACGAAATAAAGTCCAAAACAGTATAAAAATTCGAATATGAAGACACTGACAGCACGAGAAATGGGAGGCACGAGAAAGAGAGAGAGGCAGAGCCACGGACAGATAAATATACGGAGGCGAGAGAGGGGGAGAGAAAGAGAGAAAAGGAGAGAAAAGGAGAGGCAGACACGCAAACAGGAAATAGAGGAGAGAAAGAAACAAAAGACAATGCGAGCGAGCGAGAAGGAGCGAGAGACAGTAATAGTATGAGAGAGAGAGAGAGAGAAGAGAGAGAGAGAGAGAGAGGAGAGAGAGAGAGAGAGAGAGAGAGAGAGAGAGAGAGAGAGAGAGAGAGAGAGAGAGAGAGAGAGAGAGAAAGAAAGAGAGAGAAAGAGATAGAGAAAGAGCGAGATAGAAAGAGAGAGTGAGAGAGAGATATAGAGCGAGGAGGAGACAGAGAGAGAGGGAGACAGACAGAGAGAGAGAGAGAAGAGAAAGAGAAGAGAGAAGAGAGAGAGAGAGAGAAAGAAAGAAAGAGAGAGAAAGAGATAGAGAGAGAGAGCGAGATAGAAAGAGAGAGAGAGAGAGAGAGAGAGCGAGAGAGAGAGAAGAGACGAGAGAGAGAGAGAGAGAGAGAGAGAGAGAGAGAGAGAGCGAAGAGAGAGAGACGAGAGAGAGAGAGAGAGAGAGAGAGAGAGAAAGAGAGAGGAGAGCGCGAGGCCGAGTCGCGGCAGAGAGAGAGAGAGAAGAGAGAGAGAGAGAGAGGGAGAAGGGAGAGAGAGTTAAGAAAATGCGCCTCCACCCCCGCTAGCCCCTGCACTATGCACACAGACAACCCCCGACAACACCTTCCAACTCCCACTTCTCTTACACTACCAACAGCCACGCACTGCTGCCAGCACCCACCACACTCCCCAACTGCCACACCCCACCACA